TTACGACTGAATCGACTTTTCAATTCTCTATCCAACGATGCCAAAACGAATTCTCTGGCTCGAATGGTTCTTGAGAAACTTCGAATAAAGGCCATAAAGTTATCTCTGGAATGATGTAAAAACGAGCGTTCTTTGCAATAATCTTGCGCCACCCTTGCACAAAACGACGATCATTTTTCTAATTTCATAGATAACAGAAGACTGTATTTTTTCTCCATAACCTGCTGGGTCTTGGTGATTCAAGACATGCAAGAGTCTTTCAGCCTTGCTTTGCAATGGACGGTTCAATTTTCTTATAATACTTAAGGGCTACGAGGCTACAAGCACCTGCAGTTTGTAACACCCTGTACAATACAAAAGCCTCTTAGAATAGTGAGGATAAGTTTGAATCACCCTTGCATATTTTGCCGGGTAAAGAAGGGCCTTTTGTCAGCTCACCGAATGGAAAAAGCGACAATAATCGCCCACCTTTGCGCGACTCCAACCGATAAATTATCGACTGGTAACCCATAATGGAAATGGGTCAGTTACTGTTGATTGACGTGATGACGAGTTGCGCTTATTGATTGAGCTATTTTCTCCTTCTTACCTTGAACAGGAGGCCCAGTCCCATTGGGGGTTCCGTTGCCGTTGTTCGTAGCATTGCGCTTCACGTAGCTGCAATCAAATGGCTTACCAATTTCATCCGGAAATTGCATCAGTATGCTTACCCGAAGCTCTGCGGCACTCCACGAACTCCCTTGCTGCTGCCGGATTTTTCTTTGCCATGCGGGCTGCTTCTTCGCTCGCTCTTCTCCCTGCGGTTGGATGTGGGGCTTCCTGGTGCTGGTGGAGGCGGACTGCCCACTCCTGGAGAATCTCCGTATCTCTTCCAATGGTGGCCGTTGGCGCTTGAGTGTTTGGAATCCGATCCTGCCCAACAAATACCTCCTTAAGTCCTCAAACACTGTAAATATTTCGTGAGTATTACCAGGTGCTACACCTCCATTGCGTTGGGACTTGGAGGAACCTCTTGGTGCTGGAGGAGGAGGGGGCGAGTCACGGGAGGACCCACCCCTTCGCGACGATTGTTCCGTTAACACGGTGAGGCCGGACCTGGAATTTGAAAAATTCACTATCATTCCTCCACTTAGTGTTTGCACACGATATGTGACCCTTATTTCAATCTACCCTTGAACTTGTTGACTCATACCCCAGTTCATTCGGCCCCCGGTTATTTACATATCCTGTGTTCAAATATAAAATGAAAGTGAGTCAACAGAACACCCCCCTGTCTTACAGCGGAGGGTTTGGATGCAACTGATGATAAGCCAGTACGTGATGTTTCTTTGTTGAATTTTCCTAATACAATTTGCGAATTTATACGCGTTTAACTTGGGATGGTGTTCGGTGCAAGAGATAAATCGTTTGTCTATAAATTTTACGGATTAATGGATTCCAGCGGTGCTCAGATGGGACGTTGACTGGAAAGTTATGCTGATCGGGTTATGCGAATGAACGGCTTAAAGTTTTTAAACTTGTTTGGAACTGGATAAATTCCGATTTCTTAGAGCGCTTTGATTTCTGTTGCGTTTACAAAATCAGCAAAATTCAAGGTTCAGCTGGACTTAAATGAAATTTTCAGGACTTTTGTAGTCGACTATTTTCTGTAAGCAGTAAAATGTAGAATTTTTACCCTTCGTTCCTTCCGAAGTTATCAATTTTTCGGAAGATGATAGATAGAAGATAGACACGTTTTTGCAAATGCACACTGCGTGCATTTGCAAAAACGTGTCTATTGTTTCACTTGTGTTTACCATATGAGAACAAATCAAATTTCCATGTGATTTAAACTTAATCATCAGGTATTTTGGGTCTCAAACTTCTTCATCAGCACTGGCAAATTTCAACTCAATCGATGTGCTCGTTCAGAAGTTATGGATTTTTGGGCACGAGTGTGCATTTGCGAAAAACCGTGCATTTTTTTAGTCGACGAAGTCAGAAATTTTTAGATTTCAACGCGATTTTAACGAAATTTTCAGCACTGTTGGCCTCGACTGTTTTCTATGAAGGCTATAATTTTCAACTCAGCTTGAGCTGGTTCGGATTATGACTTTTCAGAAAAGTGTGCATTTGCGAAAAAACTTGAATTTTTTATTTGCGTTTAGAAAATCAGAATCGACTTTTCAATTCTCTATCCAACGATGCCAAAACGAATTCTGTGGCTCGAATGGTTCTTGAGAAACCTCGAAAAAAGCAGCGTCATGTTCAAGTGGATTTTGCAACTAAAAAAAAAAACCACGCAAATCTAAAACTTCTTGAATTCAAGCATTTTTTGAGAAACCTGCCAACATTTCCCCATCCATGGTTCACTTTCTAAAAAGGCCATTTATTTCTCTCTAGAATGATGTACAAATCAGCGTTCTTGCTCATTTTGCCTCCGAGATATGAGCAAAAACGGGACGG